TCCCTGTCGAGATTCTTGTTTCTTCCCCTGCCCGCTGCTTTGCTTCTGTTTTTTCTGTTTGTGGAGAAACAATTCAGTTCTAAATATCGACTTGGTTGTCAGCGAAAAAAGATTATTTATGGAACAGGCCCCGACTGAAACTACTCTCCGTGGAGGGCAACCTGTGTTACTGCGTTCGCAACACCTAGCTACAACAAATGGAACCAAAGAATCTTCATTGGACTTCTTCATAACTTTCAGAACCTATTATGCAAGTAACCAGGACAGTTCAGCATTCGCCGACCACAAGGCTGTTATGACTCGTAAAAAGGGCAGACAAGATATCTTGGAAGTCCACTCGACGCGTTCAAACTAAACTGTTACTTCCGGATGCTGGAGTTGAAAAATGAAGATATTTAGCTTTCAGTTGTAATATTCAACAGGTTATGGATCATTGGTGTGAACTGGTACGAACACACATGGATTATACAGTTACTGAACAATCAGTGGAACATAATAATTGAACAACTTGTATGTATTCCCTCACGAACTTTCACCATTAACCCAGGCAGAGTGTACGAGGTATCACAATGGAAGCATTGGCTCCAAGTTTTAGTTTCTTTCAGGTAACACATGTAATATCCAGATACAGACCCCGGTTGTTTGGTTGGTGCAAAGACAATGATTTCACTAGCCCTGCTGTAAATTTCGCGTACTCATTCTGCAGGGATGTTTCACCATTTAACAAGCAGCACTTATATCCCCTGGTAACAGAATAGGTGGGGGCTGAGATTGTCTGCCATAAAGATACATATGAGGAACGGGTAGATCGGTCAGACCTATCCCCACTGCTTCACCGCGGCAAAAGAGGGTTATCTCATACTGGCATTCAGCATCCTTAATAATGACTTCGGTACTTGTATATCTCATCTTTTATCTTCTGCTAGAATCAGTAATCTCTGAGGGTATTACAACGAGACCAGACAACCGTGATCGGATCAACTCAGCGTGAGTCACCCGGCTAAAAACTGGAACTCCTTGTCTCGGCAAGTTTGAGGACTTCGAAAGACATTCAGTCAGAGGAGAGAGTAACCCGTGCGTTAGCAGTCGGTCACAAAAGTCGCCATGCCAGCGGGATCCATCATTTAGGTCAACAGTGTGTGTTTTCAACTAGTCATACTGCACCGGTGTTACGCCAACTTCTGGTCTGTCGGCGAATTCTACTGTTTCCATGGTCAACCAGTGAGCGCCTTCGCTTCCACCTGAAAGAAGGAAGGAACTTAATGTAATTTTTTGGAGAATAACTTAGTCTGTACCACTGGTTTACCTCACACTGCTCCTCTCCCTCAAAGAGCACTGTTCTTAGCGCCACTTCCAGCCGTTTGACCTTAGGTCCATCTGCCACAGGGCCCCGACAGAATTTTAGTTTATTATACTGCATAACTAGGCTTTTGTCCAGAATCTTATGTGTAATACTATTGTGGTAAATAGTCCTGTTCACTTTCTTTGAAACTTAGAACAGCCTTATCCCCTAGTTGCGCCGGGGCCTCATTTGACTTTTTGTCACGGTACCCCTTCTAATATCGCCGCTGTGTTCACCTGTTGATGGGTATTAAGTTTTCTCGTGGCCGAATGACGTGTTCGTACGATGAAAGCCGATTGCCCACTAAACTGTTTGGTGGTAGGTCTTTCGGGAGGGATAAATCTCGTACAACCACCATGACGAAGAGTAATGGCAGCTTAAATTTGTGAAAACCGCACAGTTCGAGATCCCAATGAAGTTTGAGGGGCACCCTACCGACTGATTAACCGATCCAAAACGTCCAGGGCGGTGGTTGACGTGGCCATTTGAAGGGGTGTGTTTGCATCTTACCACTTGGAAGAACGGCCCACCACAACCAATGTGTAGTGTTCAACCTGAGTTGTAACGTGGAGTGGTCCAACCAAACCTATTTCAATCACATTGTTCAGGCGTCTAGTCAGTTTGGGGTCGATAGGTTATTTGAAATTATCGGCAGCCCCACTGCCTCTCCAAACTAACCATATAAGCAGTTCTCAAGGGAAAACCCTCAAATTAACAATAATTACCGGCGAAGCTATAAGTAGATATTTAGGATTCGTCCTGGTGCGAACTTGACAGATGCAAAGACCAATCACTAATCATTCGGACTTGTTATATACCCACGAATACGAGACCAAGGAAGAACACGATAGCGTAGTCGGATGGAATAGTATATTTGGATGGTTGTGCCAAAATACCGATGCGTTCCAACTAACTGGCTAGAGAGTCGAATACGAGCAATGCAACGTAACACGACAGCGTGCCAAATGGCGAGGATGCTTGACCGGGTGCCTTCAGCTTAGCGAGTCCAGTTAAACTATCAAGGTCAGCATCAATGTCGAAAGTCGTCAAACCCTAGGCTATTGATTTTGGGGAAGTGTATGACGCTACAGATCACTCCCCCCTAGTGGGTTCGTGAGGACCCTAAGACGATACCAGCCGGAAGTAAAAACCCAGTGGTTTCTCCACTGGTAAAACTCTTCCGATGGGCTCACTGCGTGAAGTGGCCCCTGGTTGTCTGAACTTATTCTAGGGTGTCGTGGCAATTAAATAATAAAGTAATTGGACGTCGATCGCGGTCATCTGTTCCTTTTGACGTTCCGTCCAGTGCTCGTTGCACCTGGAATATAAATAAAAGTCTTTAATACCACGAAAACGTTGCGTAAGAATGGGAATTATTTATATATAAACATATCGAAAAATAAAAATTTACGCTTATCTTCGCCGTTTTTTTTTAGTTTCATTATATGGTAATAAAAATTGATATAAAAAGGCAAAGTGTACGAGGGTTTGTGCATTACCAGTAAATAAGAAAAATAGTGCCTCGAAAAAAAGATAAGTAAAAAAAAGTATGGTTGGCGCACACACCGCTAAGTTGAATATGACTTCAGATACTCCGGGAACCTGACGGTTCGACCTGATCGTGTTTTTTGTTGCGCCGATGGTTGTTGCAGCTGTGCATTACCAGGCACATCGTCGAGAATTTCGATAATTGAGTCATCCGTCGGTCGGATGTAGCGAGCTGAAACGTCACTTATAATGGGGTTGCCTTCGAAATAAGCTGGTTTCAAACGGTCGATACTGACAGTATCTTCACGTCCGTCTCGCTCAATTATATAGAATTTCTCGTGTCGCTTAATCACTTTGAACGGCCCGTCGTAGGGTGGTTCAAGTGGTCGACGAACAGCGTCGTGGCGAACAAACACGTGTGATGTCTTCTGTAAACTGGGGTGGACGAAAACATCAGTCGTTTGCGGTCTAATCGGAGAAGGCCTAACTGAACGCATTGCGTTTGTAAGCCTAGTCACGTAAGATGCCCTGTCGGAAACATGTTTGAAAGTTGAAGGGGAAACAAACTCACCTGGTAGGCGAAGAGTGGTCCCATAGACGAGTTCTGCAGGAGTGCATCCAGCATCAACTTTCAACGCGTTACGAATACCTAGTAGGACTAGAGGCAGAGCCTCGGTCCACTGAGGTATGTTTGTAGCTGAAAGGGAAGCTTTCAGCTGTCGATGGAAACGCTCTACCATGCCATTTGCTTGTGGATGGTAGGCTGTCGTTCGGAACCGAGTGCAACCTAAAAGTGCCGTTAGAGCGTGAAATAATCCACACTCAAATTGGCGCCCACGGTCGGTTGTGACGTAGATGGACATCCGAAGTTCGCGATCCATCTTTCGACGAAAACACGAGCAACTGTTTCGGCAGTAATATCTTTAATGGGTACTGCTTCCGGCCATCGTGTGAAACGATCAACACAAGTGAAAAGGTAGGTACATCCATTAGATTCTGGTAGGGGTCCTACAATATCTATATGGACGTGGTCGAAACGCATGTCTGGGGCTAGAAATGAGCCTAAAGGGCTTTTCGTGTGTCGCGTGACTTTACACTTTTGACAAGCTAAGCACGACTGGGCCCACTCCTTAACGTCTTTGTTCATCCCAGGCCAGCAGAAACGTTGTGCGATAAGCCTAATGGTGGCTCGTACACCTGGATGAGAGAGTTTGTGCAACGTATTGAAGACGTTGCGTCGACAACTCTTCGGAACTATTGGGCGTGGTTGACTAGCAGAGACATCGCACAAAATTGTATCCTTGTCTGATCCAACAGGACAAAGTCGCAGTTTGAGAGTTGTGGACGACAACTCATGATGCAGCTCAAGGTCTTCCTTTTGACGCCGAGCTAGTTCAACGAGATTATAATAGTTTATCGAAGCTATTCGAGATAGTGCGTCGGCTGCGGAGTTGTTTGCTCCAGAAATGTGGCGGATGTCTGACGTGAACTGGGAAATGTAATCCAGCTGTCGCGACTCACGAGGGGAGTATTTGTCAGACGCCGAGCTGAGGGAAAACGTTAACGGTTTGTGGTCTGTGAAAATAATGAAATCACGACCTTCCACAGAATGTCGAAAATGGCGTACAGAACAGTACATGGCTAGGAGTTCCCTACCAAATGTACTGTATCTTGTTTCCGCGTCTTGCAGCCGCCTCGAGAAAAAGGCTAACGGTTGCCACTGGTTGTCAGTCAACTGTTGCAAAACTGCTCCAATTGCTGAATCAGATGCATCAACAGCAATACTCAGAGGAGCATTGGGGTCATGATGCATAAGCATGGTTGCGTTCGAAATGGCTTCCTTGACTTTAGAGAAAGCAAGTCTAGCCGCGTTGTCCAGAGACACGAACTTCGCAGTTCCTCGAAGTAGATCTGTGAGTGGTCTCATGACAGAGGCACAGTTAGGGATAAACCTTCGGTAATAACTTACCAGGCCATTGAAAGTGCGGAGATGTTTCACAGTGGTCGGCTCTGGATAGTTTGTGATAGCCGCCACTTTATCTCTCAATGGGCGTATACCTTTGTTGTCAATGGTATGCCCAAGGAAGCTGAGTGATTCAACTCCTATTTCACACTTCTGTAAGTTAACTGTGATGCCATGTTTTTTGAGTCTTTCGAATGCGAGGTCCAAATGTTTAAGGTGAGTTTCCTTATCTGGACTCGCAATTAGACAGTCATCGATGTAGACATGAACAAAATTCAGACCACGGAAGACCATCCATAAAGCGTTGGAATGTTTGTGCTGCATTCCGAAGACCAAAAGGCATGCGCAGGAATTCAAACAGGCCAAAAGGAGTAATAATGGCTGTTTTCGCGATATCTTCTGCTGCCATAGGTATCTGGTTGTACGCTTTGACCAAGTCGATTTTGGAGAAAATGTTCATTCCGCATAAGGTTGCGGTCAAGTCGTAAACGTGAGGTATAGGGTAGCAGTCCGGAGTTGTTTTGGCGTTAAGCCTTCGGTAATCACCGGTTGGACGCCAGTCGTTGCTATCCTTTTTGGGAACCATGTGCAATGGCGATGCCCAAGGACTGTTTGACGGTCTGATAATGCCCAGTTCGAGCATGTGGTCGAATTCATTTTTCGCCGTTTGCAGCTTATCGGGGGCTAAACGGCGCGCTTTGGATGCCACAGGTGGACCTGTGGTTGTGACGTGATGCATAACATTGCTGGTTATGCACGGAAGAGTGTGCTTCGGTTGCTGTAACTCTGGATATTTCTCCAGAACTGCCTGGTAGGACGCGTCGCCTGATTGTTTAGTCCTAACGATGGCTAAACTCGGACCTACATAGGTGGTGCCGCCAATAGATAACTTTGTGTTGTTATCTATCAGTCGTCGACGGCGAGCATCTACGAGTAGATCGTAATGGTTTAGCAAATCTATGCCAATGATGGGCATAGAGACGTCAGCCAGGAGGAAAATCCAGTGAATAGGTTTGCGTAAACCTAAGTTGAGGTAGGCATACCGTCTCCCGAATGTCGCGATTGCCTTGCCGTTGGCTGCTTGAAGATTGAAGGATGGGTCGAGATGACGCTCCTTTGTCGTTGCTGGAAGAACGCTAACTTCTGCGCCGGTGTCGACGAGGTAGCGGACTTTCGTTTTAATGTCGGTGACGTAGAGCAAACGGCTTTTTCCGCCGGCTACGGTTGCCGTGAGCACGTGCCGGCGTGACCGTTTCCCGAGTTTTTGTCCTTCTTAAAACGGCATGGTTTACGACATTTTCTGGCTTCATCCCCGTAAGTGTTATGAAACCAGCACCATTCAGGGTTTTCCACCCTGTTGGGTTTCGTTTTAGGGCTACCACGCGACTTGCTGCGATGCGCCAAGGTGCGTTTCTGTGAAGTGCTACGTGATCTAGGACTTCGAGATCGTAGCAACCGTTTCACAGAGTTGCACAACTTGGTCACCTCTGAATCCTGGCGCTCTGGTTTGTCGCAGATAGAATATACGTTGGAGACGGGTCTGCTGGATATCTCCAGTATTTTATCTGCTGAGGCTGCCAGGTCGTCGAGTGGGACTGACTGAGTGTCACCAACACGGTTTGCACCGGTTGTGGTAGTTTCGAGAGAAATAGTTCTCGGAAGAAACCATCGTCAAATGTTCGTGCACCGATTACTTCTCGCATGCGTGCGAGGACTTCAGTAGCTGAGTGGCTGCCTAGCTCGATGTTACGAAGCAATTCGTCTAGACGTTGGCGATCTGTGAGATCGCTTTTCTTCAAGAGTGCGGCCTTTAGAAGTGCATAAGGGTCACTTACTTCAGGATTAAACATGTGTGCTGTAACATACCTGTTTAATTCTCGCGGTAGTGAACGTATGACAGCAAGAAATCGAGATGAGGATCTGAGACACCCTGTTCTCGAAAATCTGCCTCGGCATACAGAAACCATGTTTTTGCATTGTCTGGCCAATATGGCACGAATTGGATCGTGTTCGTAGTCGGCTTAATACGAATAAGCTTGGGAGTGTGGTCGGACATGAGAAAGTGTAGTAAATGGATATATAAATGTTATCGAAATGAAAACAATAAACAAATATAAAATGGAACAGGCTCACCAATTCAATATTTGTTATTGGTTGGGATACGTGATCACGTCGGGCTCACCAATTTAGGATTTGTCCTGGTGCGAACTTGACAGATGCAAAGACCAATCACTAATCATTCGGACTTGTTATATACCCACGAATACGAGACCAAGGAAGAACACGATAGCGTAGTCGGATGGAATAGTATATTTGGATGGTTGTGCCAAAATACCGATGCGTTCCAACTAACTGGCTAGAGAGTCGAATACGAGCAATGCAACGTAACACGACAGTGTGCCAAATGGCGAGGATGCTTGACCGGGTGCCTTCAGCTTAGCGAGTCCAGTTAAACTATCAAGGTCAGCATCAATGTCGAAAGTCGTCAAACCCTAGGCTATTGATTTTGGGGAAGTGTATGACGCTACAGATACACTATTGACGACGGCGACCACTAAAGGAGTATCACCGAACACTGAGGCCTAGAAGCTAGAGCTCAAAAAGAAAAATTTCGTTAGCTGACAAAAGTTATGTTGAATGTTGGTTCTTCCTATCACCCGTCTCTTATGAGTCCACCTTATGTATCTCCTCTTTTCTTCCGTCCCGTCCCCCTTCCCTATATCATCTTCTTACTCTTCACTTTCTCCCTCTTGATTTCACTGGATATCTTCTCCATCTTTTTCTATAACTTTTATCAACAGCTATCTGGTGGCACAATATCTGAGGAACCTGTCTGCACCACAGCCCTTGGAAGAAACATACGATCCCTGATAATCTAATCAACACCCATGCCCTGCTGGGCTAACCAGAGCTACTGCAGGCGAGTGGGTAGAGCTACTTTATCGGAATTCACTAAAGACCTGAAATCGTTTCTCAAGACTTGGAAATGACAGCCTAGAAATCAATTAGTTTACATAAGTTCGTGAAAAGATATTGGATGTTGTTGAACGAGTTAGCGCCACTTTCAAGAACTGGTTTACGGACACTGGACTTTATTTATTTGGTATTTGCACATTGTTTGTTCAAGCATAAACTTTCATTGCAAAGTAATTTTCAGTATCTCTACACAACACCGATTATTGTTCTCAGCAATGCACTTGAAACAAGGTACGTCAAGTTTTTTCTAGATCGACATTTACAGCAATCTGATAAATACCATGAGCTCTCGCTTATCATCAGCCATTATTATTTGACACCCGAGATTATTGCTTTAGTGCTGGTGGGCTTCATGCATTGTGTTGGTCTCTCTTAAGCAGATACTTGAATAGGGCTAGACGTTATTCCATATAGAATATGTCCATGTAACCATATGAAACGGAACACTCAAGGAAATGTAAAAGGTTCTCGTCATTGAACGCCGTGAACTCAGATTATGCATTTTCTGTCACTTGACATCCCTTTCGCTCAGTGGTGACTTTTTTCAATCAGTCATGGCTTCGAAAGAAGTAGTCTTGTATGGTAGGATCTATGCAATTTAAAGTCTGTGGGAAGGGGGATAAAAATTCGATCCAGGCGTTATTATTCGTTCCCGATTTCAATAGAGTCTATAACGAACGTCCTGTGATTTCTGGTAAAGTCGTGTGATATGATCACCGCCATCTTCGAAACTACCAATTGTTAGTAACTGATGGGATGCTTTTGTCCAAGCTTGTTAGTAAAGAGGTGTCATATCAAATGTCCATTCTTCTCATGAAGCACTTAAACCTTCATTTTTCACAACTTTGTTGAAAGGTGTAATTAGAGTTATTTTTATTAGTGCAGTGCAGTAATTGATGACTAAACATATTGATATATTGCGATGCTACCAATTGGTGTCTTCATCATCAAGTACACTTCTTTCTACAGAGTATGTTCAAATGTTTTTGCATGAGAAAGTTACACTTCATGCTCTAAGCAGCTGGCTATATTCCGGTGAAACAATAAAATGAGCCAACGTTTTCCCTTCACAATTCAATATATATATATATATATATATATATATATATATATATATATATATATCTTATATCAGGAAAAAATAACGGCGATTCATTTCATTGTTGCATTGGTTTCTTATCAGCTGTTTAAAACATAAAATATAACTGTTGTACTCAAAAATATTCGAACATAATTTGTAGAATGAAATAAAGTCAGTTAGTGGGAAGAGATATAGTGAAGAAATCAATATAAGTCTCCACAAAAGCTTAACAAGATATGCTAGTAAGTTTCAGCTATATATATCTTAATTTGTAGAAAGTTCACGAAAACTAATACAGGTATTAACAGTTAGATTGATTGGTGACAAATGTAGGAAGGGCATGTGGCATGAATTGATCTCATGGCTATCAGAATTTAGCGTAAATTGAAGAAGATTGCCACTAAATAAGATGAAGAGTCGAAAATGTTGGTTTGCATCCGTAGATTGTGTTTTGTATGCACTATTTCATGTTTCTTTGATCCTAGATTTTGGTACAAAATAATTTTCATATTGTTTGATGAGACTGAATTCGCAGAAATGTTCTACCTGCTTTCAGTTTATAAGTGATGTGAGACAGGTAAAGGTAAACTTAGAACCTTTACAGCAGCATACAAGGAAGATGAAAACAGACAACCTAAAACTTGACAGTTGTATAGCATAGAATACCTGGTCTCACTCATATTGAGAATATGCTTATCGAATTCTTGTTGTTGGTCGAACCTGCTGACACTTGTCTTTCCCTTCAGTAGCGTGAAATATGACTTTGTGATCCTGTTTGTATGCAATCATGCCAGACTGAAACGTCAGTGTATGAAGTCGCTGACTGTAGGTCTAAACCATGTGGGCAACCAAAACTGGTGGTTGGACACTAGGTGATATGACTGGGGTTTGATCCTAGTGGTTCAGGTGCATCCAAGCCTTATCTTCATCTTAATCACCAGATCAATTTTCCTCATCGATTTACCTCCTCTTTCTGTCTTATGATTTGCTATTGCTTTTGACTACTTTCTCCCTTATCTCCCTATCATTTATCTCGGTACCTTCTACCTTAGTGTACTGATATGAGGTGTGGCAAATTGTATCGTTACCGGTCAATGCCAGACCAAGCATTGATAATAATTAAATAATGACTTTCAACATACGGGTCATGGATTCATGCCCTACTCCACCTACCAAAGTTTGGGCGGCCAGGTAGTATCACCATCCCTCATATAACAGGTGTGGCTCATTGCCTACTGCACTAATGTGCACTAGATAGCTGAGTATATTTCGATTCGATTGGTTAAATAACTGACTGGTCTCGCTGTGACTCTGTGACCCTTAAGAAATTATCTAGTGACTGTGTTACTAGAATCATAAAAGCGTAAAACAGTTGCAGTCAACACGAATACTTGTTATCATGTGCAAACAATGAGGGTTGTATTTGATGAGAACAAGTCTTCATGTTTTGGTCAGGTCTTATGAGATCATCTTAACAAACGATAAAAGTTGTAATTCCATTTTAGTCTGTTTATTAGAATTATCATACAATGAAACAGTGCCTTCTTTGTATGGTAACACAATGGAGGCTTGGAATGCTCTATCAACCCCGTCGTCGTTATTACTATTAACAGTGAAATTATTATTAATAACACCTATGTTTCTACTACTAATGCTCATATCTTTCCCTCCATTCCTCATAAATTTAGGGATAAAATGAAGTGGGGTGGGCAACTATTCAGACGCCATGTATTTTTGGTGCGCCTAATTTCTTGTCGCAGATTTTGTCCTACTAGTAAGCTTGCCCTATTACTTAGGCATTTAGCTAAGCCTACTTTAACTGAAATGATTAGAAGTTTAAATAGAGATTAGAGTGGGAAGGTTTCCTATATACACTAGTCTCTAAACTTTTATCTTACTTCTATTTAATCTCGCAATCCAACATTGGTAGCTTACCTTCATCACTAAGTTATAGGTAAATTAGATTTCGCTCACTATTGAATTCATGTCTCAAGTTCTTGGTGTGTTTCGATTTCAGTACTATAAATGTGTCATCTACATATCTTTGGAGTAGAACTAAGTGTTTGAAGAACTATCCGTCCCCGACTATCCATAAATTTGTCTGCAGTAATAGCGGTTATTGGTGATCCTATGGTAACACTTTCAATTTGTGTATATATTTCATTTTAAAACTTAAAGACTATGGATATCATGGACAATCGTACTGCTAGCACGATTAATTAGATGGACACCATAGTTCGATGCGTAAGCCCATTGATATCATTGAGCTTATTTGTAATTGCCTCAGAACCTTGTCGATCGGTATATTCGTATAAAGACTAGTTATGTCAAAACTAACCATTTTTTCACTGTTTTCAACTCATGTATCATCTGATTTATGCTTTAAGCCATGAGAGTTCGTAAGTCGAGATTTGAGTGAATTCTTATTGGGCCTTGTTAAACTTTTAGACAACTTGTCGGAGTGTTTCTAAAATCTGCTATACACCTGATAAGATAATCTGGCTTATGAATCTTAGTAGTACCACACATCATACTGAGATAATTAGTTTTCGGCACTGAATTAAATCATTTTGACTCACCTAGAAACGGCTTCATACGGCATGTCAGATCCTCTGCGGATTTCTTAACTTTGTTCATAATAGTATCCACCGATTTCTTAATTTCCCCGTATGCTCATTCACTTTGCAAATGTGGTCAGATTTGTTCATTACAGCTATTGAGTTGCCTTTATCCAATTTGGCAATCGCTATATTGTTATCATTCTGAAGGTTTCTAAGAAGTCTTTATATCTTAGGTAAATTAGGTTTCATTTTCTTGTCATTTCAGTGCTAGAGCACACTGTACTCTTACCTCATCTGCAATTGTCTTACCTATTGAACATGACGCTATTTCTGTATTTGGGAATGACATCTGGTTTCAATTCATTAACTCGCTACATTGAAGTTAAGACCTTTGTCCCGCACTTTTACTTCTGTTGAGCTTATGACTCTAGTTGAGAGATTGACAACCCACTTTGACTTACTAATCATTGGTGATGTGCTGTTGTTACTTTCACTATTGCTGACTGCATACCTTTCTTCCATAAGTTTATTGAACTCCTCAATTCGACTATCTTTGGGTTTCTTGAGTGCAGCTGATTTTGCTTTATTGAAATTGTCCACCAGAAGCCCATAATCTTTTTCACCAACTGTTTGTATCAACTTACATCTAAGTTCTTCTATATAATTCCTAATGTTGTGTAACTTTTTGACTATTCTATGAGTTTCTTCTTTATGACAGAGTTTGCTGACCCGTTCTGTAGCTGCTTTAACTTTGTCTATTGGAGTTGGTGTACGTAGACGTAGATATTTAGGGCTGATTTGATTTCTAAGACACCAAACATTGAATGTACGATGATTTGTGTATCTGCCTTCTGTCTTTGAAAGTCGTTGAACAGGAAGACCATATGTTTCATTAATATAGGAGTAAAAGTTGGGCACTGTGGTATGCTTTAATTCCATTTTAGTCTCTTTATTGATATATGCAACAGAAATGATTCCGCACCTGTTCCTGATACATGGAAGATACTACTACACTTATCCCGAAGAAGGAGATATTAGAACTATATAAACTGTCTGAAAGTTATGGAGTTACTTGATATGAATATGGACAATAAGTTGTGTTCGAAACGTTATCCAGTAAATAATCTCCACTGTCTAATAAACAGACCAAAATGGAATTACAATGTACCATAGTACTCAAGTTTTACTCCTATATTGATGAGAATTATATTTTACTGATTCAAATCTTGGTGTTGCAGAAGTAGTTAGTTGATAGTTCCTTAAGTTGTATGTGAGTGTGTGTGCGTTATCGGATCCTTAAGGCATATTTATTTTTTATATAGTACGTTTAAACAACCCCCTTAATTTTACGTTCGAAACCGGGTTCATGCTTAGTTTATTTTCTCTATTCATCAGGTGATCCAAAACCACATTTTAATGCGAATCGCTTAACCCTTATTGGATTTCGTTTTGTCCCTATGTCGATCGTGTAAGATTGACATTGAGTTACCATAAAGTTGAGTAAGTTTCATTTGCACATGTATCTAAGTTATTCTTTTGTATGGAAGGGAATGTTTCTTTTTCATTGTGATATCAGCTGCTTTACATTTCACAACTAGTTCATTACTCCCAGCTTATTTATATCAGATTTTAACTGCTTCGATAATTACTCTCTGTGTCCCTCTCTCTCTCTCTCCTTCTACCATTGCTGGAGTTCGGTGGAATCACCGTGTAAGCAATGTTGAGCTCAGGCGAAAGGTACTAGGTTAGAAAGATAAGTCGGTTGATAAGGTTGTGAACCTTAGTTGACTGAGATATTTTGGACATGTGTTACGCATGCCGAACCACCACCTACCTCCATATACCGTGGTTGGGGAAGGTGTATTATGTTGGAAGAAGGTTCAGGATGGCCAGACCAAGATATTGGAGCAGTTCATCAAGGCTGGTGACCTGGCTGGAAATCGATCACAATAACACAGATGTATCCACTGCTTCACATCTTATAAAACTTGAATATTTACACTAATACACACTAAATTTACCTCATGTATTGCCAAGATGGAATTTGTCTAAAAAGTGTTGTCTATCTACATCATACATTTTAAACGATTGAGTCACACATTCAAAACATTTTACGCGGAGAGAGTGACAGTAAAATAAGGTAAGACAGATCACATCTAAGGGAATAGAAGGTATACAGTAAGAAGCTAATCAAGCAACACTGTTATGTATTCGCATCATCCTTGCTATTAAAGTGAAATAACTAGCGATCACCAAGACTATCTTTAACTTCTCATGCTATATTGACAACTGAAAAACACTCTTAACGTCTATTTTATAATTAATTTCTACCTGGTATTTACTTAGTCATGATAGTAGCCATCCCCTACCAATGATTACCTAAGTTCTGGAATCCCCTTGTTTCTCTAACCACTTAAAATATGTTTTTCTTTTTTTTTAACAACCTTCATTGTGGACTTCACTTTAATGGTGTTGTATTCTCTGAGCTGGTTGATAGAATTATGAAACTTTCATTTTCATTCTAGAGAACACCATTATCAGTACAGACTTCAAGAAGAAGTGAGGTATAGGATTTTTTTTCTTCAAAAGTTCCTTAGTAGGCTACACTACTTTCTATTTTTCACGTTTAAATACTGAGATAGTGTACATATACAAAATGAAACTAAATGATCAAGTAAAGGAGAAAAAATCAGCCTCTGTAATAGAATAGATCAACAAAATAATGCTAAATGATTGTTTACAATTCAGTAGGTTTAAGTAAATCGAGAACAATGAAAACTAGTTAACATCCATACTCAAGTATACAAACACATATACATATATTCACATAGCTTACAGATAAAACAGGTTCTCAGATTTTGAAATCGAAAGCATAAAAAGCTGTTCAATTCTCCTGGAAACTAAAAATTTACAAAATTTCATGAAAATTTACAATAAATTTTAATTGTTAATGGATTGAATAGTGATATTTTCAGGTATCTGTAAAATTGACGAAACAGATAGTCGACACTTCTTAAGCGTTCATTGAATAGATAGATACTTATACACGCATGAAAACGTATATCCATGCGTACGTAAACATTATGAAGAGCAAAACAATGTGTACTCAATTCCATTTTAGTCTGTCTATTAGTAATATCAAACAGTGACCAAACAATATCATTTACTGGATAACCTTTTGGACAGAATTTATTGTCTATAGTCATATCAGATAACTAACTCCACAATTTCGAGACAGAGTTTATATTTAGTAGTGATGGATAATGACTAGCAGTGGAATCTAGGATGCTCATTTCGTCCTATTTGGGACTCGTTAGCTGGATGATGTATAATCATTACTATGATTAAAATACAGATACTATCGAGACATCCGCACAGCAGCCCATATGGCGATAGAGACCAATCAATGATAGTATAATACAAGCAATAATACTAGAGTTTATATATTCCTAACTTTTTCTCCTTCTCTGTGATGACAAGGGCAGTAAAATTCTACATATACCTGGAACAGGTACAGAATCATTTCGATTGCATGAATCTGGTGCCCACTCGATAAAAAAAGATTAAGTTATCAATCCTTCCCTTCACCACACTTAGTTCGTCTTTGAAGGTGTCACTTTATCCCACCCTACTGTCTGATTGTGTGTAATTCTGTGTAGAGCTATAACTGAGCTTTTCTCTAAATTCCTTGTCTCATTTGGAGTAGTAGCTAAGATTTTCTGCTATGTTATTCTAACCGATCATCGTTGACTACTTTAACCCATTTATTTGACCTCGCAATCATTCCAATAGATTTGGTAGACTGAATCAACCTCCCTAATTCGATCACCAAGATCAGAATCAAGAACATGAAAGACAAAGTAGTTTGTTAAGACATATGGTACTTTATCTACAATTTATTATTTTCTTCTACATCAGAAATAAAGATATCTAGATTTCAAATAGGTTTATCATTCTACCCCTAATCCATATAAGACAATCAAATTTCCCCTCGTGAATCCAGTTGATCGTCTTATCAACTTTCTAAGACGCCTTCATATATTTGCAAAGTTGTTTGTTTACACTCTAGTTGTCCGATCAACGAAGTACGTTTAGTGAACAACAGGTTAATGGAGGTAATCTATTTCACAGAGATGCATATATACAACATGAAAGCATCTGTGTATATTATGGTGCCCACTGCGATGGATTGTTCTACAAGTGGTAGAATCGATTTTTGTCACCTACTCTTTATCCACTGCAAAGTTCATTTCTTCGTATTTCTGTCATATATACTAAGAATGTGAAGTTTTCAAAGGCATGTGTGTGTATGTGTATAAGTTATCTAGTCGTGTTTAAGTCATCTTCCTGAGTTATATTTATGTTTGCGAACAATACACTAATCTATTAGAACGACATTACGTGCTGCAGCGAATTCTACATACAACCCATATCATAATGTTTGTGATAATTCATCAAAGGTTTATATGGTGGTGACAATACAGTAATTGGATGTGACGAATGACGTTGAATATATATCATCTTCAAGCTGATTGGTTGTTGTTAAGGTTTCGGATTATTAAAGTTTAGTTATACCCTTATGAGTTTTATTAATTCACTCGTGAAATGTAATCTATGCCAAAAGTGTTTGTTTTACTGATAGAGATTGATGATGGAAGGTGATAATGTAAAATGTGAGTAGTGTGAAGATGCGAAGTGGAGGCATTTAGGTAACCCAGTTGGCGTTGTATTTACTGAGCTATGGAACACAACTACCGACTAGGTCTTAGATTGATTTTAATCATGAAGGTTTTTGATTGACGCCTACCATATGAGAATACCTGATACATAAGTGTTCGTTCATTATAATTATTACTCTGGTTGTCAATGTAAGTGTTGTCTTTTGAATTCAAATGAAGGTGAATTGAGTGTTTATGAGACAATATGATGTTTGCGTTGTTTCACTGACTTACTTGTATTGTGGATATGGGGAGATGTTTTTAAGAAGTTTTATGTTGTATATTTGACTTGTGGTTTTCCTTCTACTTATTGGACTTGATGTTTGTATGAGGAGAGCAGCACATTTAGCAAACTGTGTAGTGAAGCGATAACTAGTTTTGTTTGGCTAGATATGCCTTCAGTTCGGTCAACAAGATAACATCTTATCATTGACTTTAATACTAATATACCTTGTAACCATATCCATGAAGATAATGATTACTGAAAGAGTGACTATAAGTTGTGTAATAACTAGTTTTAATTAGAGCAAGACATGTAAGTGAAGAGTATTGTTTTCAATTAGATCCTCTTCAGGCTTTACTCGAATACAAATAGTTCGACATATGTATGGAAATTGAACGAATCATGCAGATATGTCGGGTGATGTGATAAATGTTTCAAAGATAACGATGGTGATAATAATCGAAATAATGATAGTGATAATGATAAAAGTGATATAGGGCATACTAGTAGACAACTTAACAGATGTGTTGCTCAGCATCTACCTTCATGGTTGGGAAAGGGATAGATGAAGTCAATGAGAAGTTCGGTTCTATCTGATCTTGTTGATAGTGGTCACTTGGTAGATAAGAACAATGCTTGTATGACTATTCACCGTATACCACGTCATGTTTCGTAGGGTATTGGAATTCATCTTTCATAAGACATGTGAGAAGGTGTGGGAATTCGAGTTAATAATCCTAGTGTTTGTATCCAGAATACATTTGTACATCTCTTATCTCTTAGTTCTATAACCTAATCATTCATTTGTTTTGCTACCCTTTTCTTATGTTTCACCACTTCAGGGTTATCAGAATGTCTAGATTTTCATACTGCTTTCTTAGTTCTTATTAACATTATCATCTGTATTGCTGAGTGCTTTAGTCAACGTTATCACTTTTATTATTATTACCATTACTATTTGTATTAATATCACCATCATTATGCTTCAGACATTTATCACATCGATCGGTGATAAATCTACATGATTGGTTTAATTTCCATATATGTTGAGCTATTAGAGCAAAGCCTAAAGAGATTTTTATATGCGGCTACGTGTAATGTCTCCGATTACTGGAAGTAAAAATATGTTTTGAATAGGTTGTGCAAGCCGTAAGATGTTAAGATTCAATCAATGGGAAAAAGTGAATATGGATTTTGTACCTAATGGTACTATATATATTCCCGTCATTGTGTGAATTTTTGGATTATCAAATGAGTTCTTAGTAAAGTTGACTTGCGTTATGAACGTGTAGATCTGCTTTTTTTCAGAGAATAAACCCTGTTTCATTTTTTTTATAGTTGCTGATTGATTTTTGGGTTGGTAGAGAATGAACTTCAATGCCTTGGTCTTTAGATTTGAATACTAAACATTAGAACATATAAGACAAGAGAAGATAGACAGAAGGAGAAAAATCAGGTTTACAATTGATTTCCTTCGAAAGAAATCGAATAGTGATCGTCAAAATGGAAAAGAAACTGAAAGAATTTGAAATTTGCATAGAAATGTATTTTTGACTACGCATAATGAGGCTCAAAGGTGATTTATATTTGATCCAATATACCTATGTGTTGTAAAAGACATAAACTCTGATACATAGTTTGTTATGAGAACTATATCCTTGTATAAGAACAATCTTTTGTTATTTCTACATAACGAATACACTGCAATTGCTTTAATGTAGTATATGTCAGCTGTATATGGTATTTAACTGATTATGGATTGAAATTTAGATTATATGTATCCTCATCTTGTTACACACGAGTGGAATAAATGCTTCATCCCTTCGCTTTGCAGTAATAAGAGGGAATTTGTAGACTAAGGACATGAATAATGAATTCCGACTAGGAATACCTTTTCTACCAATAATAACAAAGATGTAGCTAGAGTTATTCTTTATTCAAAAATCAACAAAAAGATATACTCCAAAAACATTTTAGAAATATGATCCTTTCTCACTATTTTATTACTTATGTATTCGCTGTTGATAAAGTTACTTGGACTAATGATGAAATATTTTGATGGTTTATTCGTAAAGCTTTCATTGTCATTGTGTCAGCGTCAACTTCTGAAAGAAGTGAGCTATAAGGCTTTCTCCACAATTTATTAAGTAGCTTGTCTTAGTGGCCTTGTGTGTGTGTGTGATTGGTTGTTTTTGTCAAGGTCATGTCATTGTCTGCATATTTATTTTGATTGGTTGTCCTGATCATCTGAAATTTGACCTTCTTGTTGTTCTTTTTGTTGGTTGATAGATTGGGTCAATGTTAATATGCTTGTTGACTTCTGGTTGACCTGAATACCAAGCTTTCAAAAGTTCTCTGGCTTTCTTTATATTTCTTCTATTCAGAATTTTCACGTCTTCCCAGTCAAATTCACCTCCACAGTTGTCCGTATATATTGATATCAGGGAAGATATGTCATACCGTTTCGCTACTTGTTGGTCTCCATGTAGACCGATATGCACAGGGCGGGCGCCCACTCTGTCCGATGTGGTGTTGCTCGCAGTTTCTGCAGTTTATTTTTTAAAGAATGTTTAATTTGTCTTCCATTGCTACTTTATCCTGCATAACAGGGGTTCAAGAGATTTTGTGGGCTTGTGAGATACAACGATTCCAAACGCCTTCTATAACCCGACTGTAATCTTGGCGACGTTCTTCTTGTAGGGTAAGACAATTGGTTTGTTAGTTTTCGAGGTTGACTTTTTGATTGACAACGAATTATGAAAACATCTTTTGATGGAGGTATGTGAATAGGCGTTCTTCTGGAATACAGTCATTGCATAGTTTTCTTCTTTTCTCCGCCAAGTTGATGTAATACAATAGGTCTTCGCTCTTTATGTATATGTGTCCCCATTACCAGGTACTATATGCAGTGAGATGTGATATAACCATCCATGGAATGTTGAAGTTTTTGCCTGAGCACAAGTTTGGCTTTCTGAAAAAACCTTAGTTCAACTATCTAACCAATTTCCTTATCAAATGAATTGAACTTTCGTTGTGACATCGGGTTGTTCACTTCTATGTTAGTAATATCTGTTAGGGCAATATACATGTTTTGATTTTATAATACAGAATAGGTCTCAATTCAGTTTTGCACTGAAATACGCATCTTTTACTAGTGTTTTAACCAAACATTACAGTTCCTGTCTTAAGGTTGACGGAAAAGGTATTCTTCTTTCTTTACTTGTACATATTACGTTGTCTTAATTGACTTGTTTGACTGGATTCTATGTTCAATCTTTATGTAAAATATATTGAAAAGCAAGTGTATGCTTCGATTCTTCCAAGTGTATTGCGCAATTACATAATCATATTTGCTAGAGAAGTAGAATAAAATTCAATGGCGTGCAGGATATTCACATCTTCAAAGGATTATCATAGTCGAGTCTTAGAGGGAACAGCATCACTCACTAGGAGGTCGGTACATCCAGCTGACGAGTCCCCAATGGGAGGAAACGTGCATCCTAGATTCCGCTGCTAGCCACTATCCATCAATAATATATTATCACTTCAGACCTTAGTTATATATTCTTCTCTGACTGTTTAACCCTTATCTTTTTACCTTATACCTTCATTAACTTGATACATATATTTTCATATTATGGTTTTCATTTACTCCTATAGATATGACTTGGTAAATATTTCGTTATCTTCAAAACCTGATTGGTTTCTGGAGATGTATCCAACTGGTAAAGTGCCTTTGTTGTTACTGGAAAATGGAAAACAATTACCAGAATCGGATGTAATTATGCGTCATATAGACAGTGCATATGGTTCAAATGTTTTACTTTCGCGTTGTGGAGTTGAAGGGTTTGAAAAAGCAATTGAACTTGCAGCTCAAGTATGTTTATCAATAACTTGGTAAAATATGCTTATTATAAATGAATTATCATTATTAACTATCTGAGATAACCGTGGTTTGACAGACGGACTCGGACCAGTGACCACCGGGTCTCCGGCCGCGGTCTAAATTTTCATTCCACCTTCAATCATCACCCAATGGCAATACTACTAGGCCAAACCACGGCTATCTCAGATAGTCCAACTTATAATCAAAATGATGCTCCACCTCTCTGATTCAGTTAGATTTGTATTGGTATGAGAAGCCCTGACTAGACAGTCAGTGTGAATACGATCAAGCGGTAGTAACGCATCACAAATCCAAATGGTAGTCGAGAAAAACTTTGGTGATTGAAGTAAAATAAAAATCTGGTCAGCAGTCTGACCTTATAGCCCAGTTGGTAGAACATCTGGCGGGAAGCTCGGTGTTCTGTGGTTCGAATCCGGCCACGGTCTGAATCTTCATTTCACATTCAATCATCACCCAGTATAAGTGAATTAACTACTCCTATCATTTTTGTAAGGTGGTGTGTTGTAGCATAGTGAGTTTCTCTTTTTTCCATTATACATAGAGCTTGGATTTATTAGTTTACACAGTTGGTTATACTTTCGAATCCAGTTCCACTTATCGAAATGTAGACAGCTAGGTAATATCGCTAACCTTTACACAGTAGCTGTGGCTCACTGCATACCTCACCTATGTGCACTTAGCTGTGGAGTTGTACCACCTATTCCGATGTACTTAACAAAAGTCTATAGTGTTCCTCATGAATAAATCTACTCAGCAACGTTGTACACAATCCCGCTATAGGCGATGAGCCACACTTGTTGTATGTTAGGGTTAGTGATACCATTAGCTGACTGCCGAAACCTCGATAGATGGAGTGACCCATCGGTTGAAAGTCAACTCACTAAACCACCGTAGCATAACTCCATTGTGTTCTTCCACTGTTTATCTATTATCAGTATCCTCCTAGCTGCATTTAGTAAGAATTAACACTGAGTCCTAACGTTGACTAGCAGTTATATAAGGGGATGCAAACTTTACTAAATGCCGAGTAATTTTTCTTATCAGTCTGTTTTCCCAAGTCACTTCAGGCTTGAAAATGAACGATCAACCCACTGTTTAAAATGATATCATACAATATCTAGTGAATTTCACACAAGAAATGATAAAATATATAACTTTTGTTCGTTTATTAGGATTGAATTAAACTTTACTGACAACCAATCACGCTCAAGTATCCACTAAGCAATCGGAATCAAAAATATGAAAGACAAAGTAGTTTGTTAAGACGCATGGTACTTTTATTTACAATTTATTATTCTCTTCTACATCAGAAATAAAGATATCTAGATTTCAAATAGGTTTATCATTCTACCCCTAATCCATATAAGACAATCAAATTTCCCCTCGTGAATCCAGTTGATCGTCTTAACAACCTTCTAAGACGCCTCCATATATTTGCAAAGTTGTTTGTTTACACTCTAGTTGTCCGATCAATGAAGTACCTTTTGTGAACAACAGGTTAATGGAGGTAATCTATTTCACAGAGATGCATATATACAACATGAAAGCATCTGTGTATATTGTGGTACCTGTTGCGATGGATTGTTCTACAAGTGGTAGAATAGATTTTTGTCACCTACTCTTTATCCACTGCAAAGTTCATTTCTTCGTATTTCTGTCGTATATACTAAGAATGTGAAGTTTTCAAAGGCATGTGTGTGTAAGTGTATAACTTATCTAGTCGTGTTTAAGTCATCTTCCTGAGTTATATTTATGTTTGGGAACAATACACTAATCTATTAGAACGACATTACGTACTGCAGCGAATTCTACATACAACCCATATCATAATGTTTGTGATAATTCATCAAAGGTTTATATGGTGGTGACAATACAGTAATTGGATGTGACGAATGACGTTGAATATATATCATCTTCAAGCTGATTGGTTGTTGTTAAGGTTTCGGATTATTAAAGTTTAGTTATACCCCTATGAGTTTTATTAATTCACTCGTGAAATGTAATCTATGCCAAAAGTGTTTGTTTTACTGATAGAGATTGATGATGGAAGGTGATAATGTAAAATGTGAGTAGTGTGAAGATGCGAAGTGGAGGCATTTAGGTAACCCAGTTGGCGTTGTATTTACTGAGCTATGGAACACAACTACTGACTAGGTCTTAGATTCATTTTAATCATGAAGGGTTTCGATTGGCGCCTACCATATGAGAATACCTGATACATAAGTGTTCGTTCATTATAATTATTACTCTGGTTGTCGATGTAAGTGTTGTCTTTTCAATTCAAATGAAGGTGAATTGAGTGTTTATGAGACAATATGATGTTTGCGTTGTTTCACTGACTTACTTGTATTGTGGATATGGGGAGATGTTTTTAAGAAGTTTTATGTTGTATATTTGACTTGTGGTTTTCCTTCTACTTATTGGACTTGATGTTTGTATGAGGAGAGCAGCACATTTAGCAAACTGTGTAGTGAAGCGATAACTAGTTTTGTTTGGCTAGATATGCCTTCAGTTCGGTCAACAAGATAACATCTTATCATTGACTTTAATACTAATATACCTTGTAACCATATCCATGAAGATAATGATTACTGAGAAGAGTGACTATAAGTTGTGTAATAACTAGTTTTAATTAGAGCAAGACATGTAAGCGAAGAGTATTGTTTTCAATTAGATCCTCTTCAGGCTTTACTCGAATACAAATAGTTCGACATATATATGGAAATTGAACGAATCATGCAGATATGTCGGGTGATGTGATAAATGTTTCAAAGATAACGATGGTGATAATAATCGAAATAATGATAGTGATAATGATAAAAGTGATATAGGGCATACTAGTAGACAACTTAACAGATGTGTTGCTCAGCATCTACCTTCATGGTTGGGAAAGGGATAGATGAAGTCAATGAGAAGTTCGGTTCTATCTGATCTTGTTGATAGTGGTCACTTGGTAGATAAGAACAATGCTTGTATGACTATTCACCGTATACCACGTCATGTTTCGTAGGGTATTGGAATTCATCTTTCATAAGACATGTGAGAAGGTGTGGGAATTCGAGTTAATAATCCTAGTGTTTGTATCCGGTATATGTTTGTTCATCCCCTCAGTTTTTTCCCTACTTTTTCCTTATGTTTCAGCCTTTTCGTATACTTACTGTATTAGTCCAGACTTTGTTTATCCAATATTACGTTACTTTTATCACTATTATTGTTTGTATTATTATTATTATTATTACGCCCCACGGTCTGCCGGGCCGGCGGTGTTGGTTCACTTGTCGTTTCCTTTCGACCATCCGGCCCCAAAAATACAAAAGTTCAAAATAATCATACTCAAAAGGCTGGGTGTGACAGGCCTCAAGCAGATGTCCGATGGGCTCTGCGGTCACACAAATCTCTTTCAGGTACCTTAAGAAGAAATAGCCTTCCACGGTGTGGGCAGCCGGGAAGTGTCAACCGCCCTCACAACTCTGTCAGCACCCAAGTTTCTTCTGACTGCTATCCTCCTCCTCCATCATTACCTTCTAATCTTCCTTCACGTCTCTTAATTAATGATGCTGCATCATCTTCAATTTCTCCTACCTCTGCAGCCTTCGACAACGATCTGAGTCCACAGAACAGCATCCCTGGTCTCCTTAAACCACGCTCCAAATTACATATTGGAGCCTTCAATGTCCGCACCCTCCGTCAAATTGGCCAACAGGCTTCGTTGGCAAAGACTCTAGCAACTCGGGCATGGATGTGTGCTGTGTTTGTGAGACACGCATACAGGACCCAAGTGTGGTTATTCACCTGACCTCTCCTGACCAATCTGGTGAATCTGCAAAATTCACCCTTCGAGTTTCTGGAGATTCGATAGCTAGCTCTCGTGGTCTTGCAGGTGTAGGTATAGCATTAAGCACCAGGGCAGAAAACTCACTACTAGACTGGATCCCAGTTGATAGTCGCCTCTGCGCTATGAGGCTGAACGGCACAGTGAGAACTAAAAGGAATAGTGAGACTCGCCGTTGTCTCTTTGTAATCTCTGCTTACGCACCCACTGACTGTAGTTCGGATGAAGTGAAGGACGAGTTCTACCATAAACTGTCTAACCTCCTCTCGAAAGCCAAACGTTCGGACGTAGTGGTTGTTGCAGGTGACCTCAACGCACAGGTGGGTAGACTGAGTGAGGCAGAAAGGCACTTAGGTGGCACTTTCGGAATCCCAGCTGAACGTACAGATAACGGTGATCGCCTATTACAACTATGCTCAGATAACCGCCTATTTTTAGCCAGCACAAATTTCAGACATAAAGAAAGGCACTGTCTGACCTGGCGTCCACCGAGCTCGACTCAGCGATGGACACAGATAGACCACATTGCTATTAGTCATCGCTGGAGAGGATCGGTGGAAGACTGCCGCTCCTTCTGGAGTACGTGTTTGGACAGCGATCATGCGTTGGTCCGAGCACGTATATGCCTGCGTCTCAATGGACGTAGAAAAAATTTGGCAACAAAACCACTACGAGTTCTGCTGGACAACGAAAACACCAAAGCCGTGTTCAGTGAGAAGTTGGCTAGGCAGTTATCGGAACAAAAGACTGTCACTCATCCAGAAGAAGCTTGGTGCCATCTTCAGTCTACTGTAAAAGCAGCACTGGAGACTGTAGCCGACTCCAAGATAATGGCTAAAAAGAGCCAGTGGATATCAGCAGCTTCTTCCAAACTAATGGATGCACGTGAATGCATCCCTGCAGGCTCTGAGTACAATGAAGAGCGAGCGCAACTTAAAAATAAACTGACGAAAAGTCTGCGCAACGATCGTGAACAGTGGTGGGCAGCAAAGGCTAAAGAGATGGAAAAGGCAGCGGCGATCGGTAACAGTAGACAGTTATTTAGACTTATTAAGGAGACTGGGGGGAAATGGTCAACAACAGTTAGTGAGGTTATAGCGGAGAAGGACGGATCGGCGATTCACTCGCAGGGAAGGCG